TACATGTCTTTCCTCTATTTCTTCCGTGACCATTCCAAAAGCTGTCCGTGAAGCTTTAGCCCATCCTGGTTGGCGTCAGGCCATGTTAGATGAACTAAGTGCTCTTCATAATAGTGGAACTTGGGAATTGGTCCCGTTACCGTCTGGGAAATCTGTTGTTGGTTGCAGGTGGGTGTTTGCTATCAAAGTTGGACCCGATGGTACTATTGATCGCCTCAAAGCTCGTCTTGTGGCCAAAGGTTATACTCAAATTTTTGGGTTGGATTATGGAGATACCTTTTCTCCTGTGGCAAAGATGGCTTCGTTCGTTTATTTATCGCCATGGCTGCTCTTCAACAATGGCCTCTTTATCAACTCGGATGTTAAAAATGCTTTCCTCAATGGTGATTTGCAAGAAGAAATATATATGGAGCAACCTCCCGGGTTTGTTGCTTAGGGGAGTCTTCCGGGATGGTATGTCATCTTCGCAAATCCCTATATGGCCTAAAACAGTCTCCTAGGGCTTGGTTTGGAAAGTTTAGCAAGGTTGTTCAACAATTTGGTATGACTCGGTGTGAATCAGATCATTCTGTCTTTTATCGACACTCGAGTGCTGGATGTGTTTACTTGATAGTATATGTTGATGATATTGTTCTTACAGGTAGTGACAACCATGGCATCTCTCGCTTGAAACAACATCTTTGTCACCATTTTCGGACCAAAGATCTTGGCAAACTTAGATATTTCTTGGGTATTGAGGTAGCACAGTCCAATGATGGTATTGTTATATCTCGGAGGAAGTATGCCATAGATATTTTGGAAGAAACTGGGTTGATGAGTTCAAAGTCCGTTGATACACCCATGGATCCCAATACTAAACTTCTACCAAATCGGGGGAGCCTATATCCGATCCTCGAGCAAGTATAGAAGATTGGTTGGAAAATTGAATTATCTTACAGCTTACTCGTTCCGACATTTCCTTTGCAGTCAGTGTGGTAAGTCAATTTCTTAATTCACCATGTGAAGATCATTGGAATGCAGATCATTCGTATCTTGAAGTATATTAAAGGATCTCCTGGAAAAGGATTGTTATATGCTTCTAATAACCATACAAGAGTTGTTTGCTACTCGGATGCCGATTAGGCAGGATCTCCTTCGGATAGAAGATCTACATCCGGATATTGTGTCTCCATTGGTGGTAACTTGATTTCATGGAAAAGTAAGAAACAAAGTGTTGTGGCAAGATCTAGTGCGAAGCAGAATATAGAGCTATGGCCTCAGCCTTCCCGTGAACTTGTTTGGCTCAAGCAATTGCTTAGAGAGTTACAATTTAGAGATGTCACTCAAATGACACTTGTGTGTGACAATCAGCCGCTCTTCATATTAGTTCTAATCCTCGTCTTTCATGAGAGGACCAAACACATTGAGATTGACTCGTCATTTTATTCGAGAAAAGATTATGTCCGGAGATATCAAGACCGAGTTTGTTAACTCAAGTGATCAGTTAGCAGATATTTTTACTAAATCTTTACTGGGTCCTATAATTGATTATATTTGTAACAAGCTTGGCACATACGATTTGTATGCTCCAGCTTGAGGGGGAGTGTTAGATATTGTTTATATATTATTTGATATTGTTAAGATATTGTTAGATATTGGTAACCACAATATCAAACAATATCTTCTGTTTATTCTGTTACTTTCAGCTACTCTTTTAGTTGTATTTCTCTACTATAAATAGACCACCCTATGTGTGATTTATACACAAGGGAAATTAATTCCAAACTATATTTTCTTTATATTCAACGAGTTATAATCAAGACTATTTTTAAATAATAAAATATATTTGTATTAACATTTGGATATCCAATTTAACTTGTATAGAGATTTAGTTAACTCGCAAACCAAGTCTTTTTCCTTTAAGTTTTATAGTTTGAGCATATCAATTTTCTCTCAAAGTTCACTTTGAAGAAAAATAATATTTGTATCCCTACTAACCTGGTGGGTAGTGAGATCTCACAAAAAAATACTTATTCACACTATTATAATAGAAGAAATTGTCCTTCCGGATGTTAGATTCGAGTTGTTTCTTGAACTTTGAAAATATAACATTTTTTTTTATGTAGACACTCATAATCTTATAGAGTAATAATTATTATTTATACAAAATATTTGACCTCTCTTGGGGATACTATTGACCATTCAAACATATAAAAATAAATTAAGTTTAATATGTGTTTCATCTTGGTCGTTTCAATAATAAACTTAAATTTATGTTACTTTAAGTCAATAATCTTTATTGATATGTCCTCTTTTGTCCCAATGGTAGTTAATGAGATTATTCTTTCCTAAAAAATTTAATCCACACATATTTTGACTCCCACTAAAGTGATATTCCATTGATCTACATCTTATTATCATCATCATCAAAGCTTATGCTTAATTCAAACTTTTCACCTTACTTTTTCGTCTGGATTTTTGTAAACAATAACTCTGACAACATTCTCAAAGTGTAAATGTTCATCAATATTATTATTTGTTACATTGATGGCAAATTGATTATACGAATTTTGTAAACTCTGAAGTATAAGTTTCACATGTTAATTTTTAACTATATTGAAATTTGCCATTGAAAGTTGGATAAACAATATATTTAAATTGTTGATGTGATTCGTTGATGATGTGAATTCACTTATTTAAAAGAGTATAAACTTTTATCTTCAAGAATATTCTTATATGGAGTGACTTAATCTTGTACAATTTGATGAGAGTTTGTTGTACCCTTCTCCGCAGTGTTATATAAAATCGCATCTAATAATACTAACTATAGTTTTGTTATAGCGTTGTTATTAATAATTTCATTCCACATTTGATCTGTGATGTTTACGGGTCTTTCTCTAATTGCATTAACACAATTATATTTTTCCAAAATTATTTTCATCTTCAATTTTTATAGTGACAAATTATTCACATTGAACTTTATTTCATATTTTGTTGTCATGATTTTAACTGACTTATACAATTTTTACTATGAATAATATTGTTTATTAGAAAATGGTGAGTCACAAATTAATATGTTTAAATACTAAGTATTTTTTTGCTAAAACTTTTTTTAAACATGTACTATCACACTAGCACATTTTATATCAAATAACAATAATAATTATTTTTTAATGTGAAAGATCAGATTAATTATAATTACAAAACAAATATTATTTTCAATAGTTTTCTAATGACTGCAACAACAAAATAATAATAATACAATTAAGTAAATAAGTAACAACTTACCTTTAATACTACTCTTAAGAATTAAAGTAACTACCTAAAAACTCATATAAAATAAAAGATAAAATGAGAAGAACAAAATTAACAATAGATAATAAAATTTATTTTAAACAAAATTATAATACGCTCTTTAAATTAAAAAAAAATGACAATACTATTTCTTTTAAAATATATAATTATGTACTAGTAAACAAAAATTACAAGATCAATTTTATATTTATTTTATAATAAATAAAAATAAGTATCATGATATTGGCTTTTCTTTAATTTGTTGGCAGTCCTTTGTGACTGTGCTGTGAGTGATGCACCTCCAACTTCTACAACTGCAAAACCAGAACAAGAGTCTCAACTCAATTTGTTTCGTTTTTTTCTTTTTCCCTTTTTCGTGTCAGCTCTTTATTATTTCACGAAAAGGGATAATACATTCTTCAATGTTTTAATTGCTTCATGACGCGAATTATTGCATTCTTTAACCTTTGGGGAAGATAACGTAGTAACACATGGATTGAGAAGCAAGATAATTTCCTTCAGCATCTCATAGGGAGCGTGAAAGTGAAAAGTAAAAATATTTAACGTGGAGAAAATTACCTGTTTCGAAATGTTAGTATCCAATTCAAGCTATTGAAACAGTTATGAGTTGGTTTCTTAATAGGTTTTGTACACGAATTATTGAATGGTAAAGAAAATATTATTCACCAGCGATTTGTTTCCTCTCATGATCAGAGCAATAATATCCAACCACACAAGGAGAGCCAGAGAAAAAGTTTAGTAAGATAGCTATAACCTTTGCTCGTCATTAAATTTTTGTTCATATTACCTATAAAAATTTGTAAATTTTGATACAGTGCCATGCTAAGAACAGCTAAGTAGGTGGCAGAACCACTAGCAACCCAGTTTGTTATGAACCTAGTTTATCATATATGGTAGATTCATATGTCTATGTACTTTCCATTAAAAGTATGATATAATTGTTTCTGTTTTATGAATAAATTAACTCTTTAAATTATGAAAATATATGCTATTTAGTTTCTCCACTTTAAAAAGTTGTCATATTTAAAAATATCTAATTATTTATATAGGTCCTTCAATTATTACAATTGAATAAAATTTTAATTATGCCAATTAAGTTTTTAAGTATATTAATTTTACTCTCTCGGATTTTAATTTTGTCAATTGAATTTTTCAAATACCACAGTCCTATAATTTTACATTTTTAGTCTAAATTTACCAGTGTAATATTAACTAATGATATGTTTATAAGGATCAAGTTATAAAATCAAATATTTTAGTTGAAATTTATGTCGATATTTAGGTTAAATTTAAGTTTGTATTCTATTAAGGAAGTCCTCTGCTCTTCGCCATCCATCTCTAGTATCTCCTCACACTTGAAAACATGATCGGGAAACTGCAGTGGAGTCATATGCACGTGAGACCAAAATTCAGCTACGCTAAAAATACTAATATAATAATAAATATTATTATATTAATATAAACGGTTGCAGTTTTGTGAACATTTCTCTTTCATATCAGAAAACCACATAAACCCAAACAAAATTTTGATATTCACAAATGAATCTGTTTCAGCAATTTGCCAAAGGTGACCGGAAGTAATTTTCCCTCCTGTTTCCTATTTAATTCACAACAAACGAAAAAAATATATATATATATAAAAAAAATCGACCAACGTGATGGAATTGTGTTTGTTGGTCGTGGAACGAACAACACTTCCAAGAACTTCACCTAACGCACGTCCAGCCATCCGATTCTGACCAATTCTCCGGCCTCTCATTGGTGACAAGTTGCTGGAGCCGACTCTCCGGCGAACAAGATGACCTAGAACTCCACTCACACCAGGCGCCGTGCAGGGAAGACGGGAGCGAAGCCGTTACGGTGGAAGGGGAAGCCCAGTGATGGAAATCGAAGTGGGTCCTCGGTGACGGCGACTGTAACGGCTCATTAACTTTCTCGAACGAAGAAGTGTCAACGTTGATGAAAGGGTGCTTCAAAAGCATCTCAGCGCTCCACCTCTTTGTGGGATCCTTAACAAAACACTTTCTCAAAAAGTCCTTCCCCTCTTCCGAAAATTCTTCTGGAATCTTCGGCAATTCTTCTCCCACTCCAATACGCATCAATAACGACCAAATATTCGACCCGTTGCGAACATCCCATGCAGGCTTTCCGGTCACCATCTCCACGACGGCGCAGCCCAAAGCCCAAATATCCGCCGGCGACTCATACTCATTGGCGATCACCGATTCCGGCGACATAAACAACGGCGTTCCCCTGCATTCGTACTTCCCCTGTTTCTCCCCCTTCTCCTTCGCGAGCCCGAAGTCCGCGATTTTCACCTCGCCGTTATCGAAGACGAGAACGTTTTGAAGCTTCACGTCACAGTGAACGAAACCGCGGTTGTGAATATGTTTGAGCCCTTCCGCGACGGACCTCGTGCATCGCCGCGCGAAAGGCTCCGGGAGCCTTCCGCCGTGTTTTCTGACCTGGTTGGCGAGGGAACCTCCGGCGGCGTATTCTAGGAACACGTTGTAGAACTCGTTGCCGTTTTCAACGGTGTGATCGTGACCAAAACAGTTGATGATGTAAGGGGAAGAGCCAAGACGATCGAGGACCTCCTTCTCCTTTTTCAGCAAACCCGCGTTGTGGGAATCAGAGGATTTGACGGCGGTGAGAGAAGAGAACTGAGTGGAGCCGTTTGTGGGCACGGCGATGTTGACGGTGGCGAAGGTTCCACTGCCGATTGACTCTCCTCGAACCCAGTCCATGTTGGTACAACAGTGTACGCTGATTTTTGTTTTGAAGAACGAAGAAAAGAAGGAGTCGCGTCCCCTTATAAAGGATGATTCGATGAACACTTGGTGTTGATGACTCTAGTACGTACTAAAAGCGCGAATGAAATTGGCGGCATGAAAACATTTGAAACATGTCATAATTAGGAATATTTTCTGCGAAGCCGCGTTCCTGATATCACTGTTGCCTAAACCTGTCTTCAAACGTGTTTGTTTTCTTATGAAAGCCAAAATTCACATCTTTTCAATGCGTTTTAAACACACACAAAAAATAATTGTTATTATTAGATGTTATAAATTATATACTAATATTATAATCTTTCGATTAATGAAAATATATTATTTGTAATTGAAAGGTAATTTGGTTGATCAATCCCAAATATATCTAAAAGATGTTTTTTTTTCTTTTTTAATATTCGTATTATCAATATAATTCAACCCCTTGAAAGACGCTAAATATTTTTTAAAAAATGGAAATATCTTATCCATGATATAAAATCCTCCTCTCTATTTTTCAAGGGGGATAATAGTTATATAATATATTTTTTTTAATCTTTTTTCAAGTATATTATCTCATAATCTTATTTTATATTCTTCTCTTTAAATATGTTTAAATGGAAAAAAATACCTTTTACAATGTTGAAACCCTTTTGAAAATGATATTTCTTTAATTTAAAGACACTATACTTTTCTTGTGTATTTTTTTTTTTAAGATTAACAAGCAGGATAAATAGTTAAATAAACTTAGCAAGTATAATTAATATATACAATTTTTTTATAAGATTACTTTCTATTAATAAAATTTTAAATATATTGGATTTATTTTATCAAATAGCGCTAGAATAAATTATTTCATTGTGAATTTTGAGATAATATTAATTATATATAGAGTGTTGAAATTTTTTACAATCAGTACTTTGAGTCAACAACTCATAATAATAATAATAAAATAAAAATTAAAAATAATATATAATAATATTATAATAAAATATATAAGAAGAAAATAGAGTTATAGGATGAATATTTGTGCAAAAGTAGCTGTCAAAATAAAATTTCTTTTATATATAACAGCATAAGTATTAAAGATTCCCGAATATTCTTATGAATAATGATATATAAGAGAGTATTTCTTAAATCGTTTTTGTTATCGTTCAAAAAATTATTTATTTTATATATATTTTTTTTAATTTCTTTTCAATTTCTCTTAAATTTACATGAAATATTAATTAAATATTTTTTTCGTTCCTTAAGATACAAGTTTTCCTTACTATTTTCTTTCAAATATAATTTTTAATTTTGTTTAAATTAGTGTTGTTCTTTATTTTATTCTTGGCGAAGTGTTTCAGATTCATTTTTAACTTCGTTCAATTAAAATTATACTTGGATTTGATTTATTTTTTAGCAATCTAATATGATTGAATTGCGTTTTTTTACAATTTATGAATTGGATTTCTAGGAGCCAAAAAAAACAATCTTCTGCTTAAACACATTGACATGAATAAAAAATAATAATACTATGTGTGACTCGCAATATTCTTAGAACGTTATTTATATCGTAAAACATAAAACCATTTTTTAACCATAAAATCATCAATAAATTAATATTTTGATTTATATATTTATGTACTTGAATTTATTGATTCAAAATATATTAATTCCTTAACTAAGTCAATTGTGATTGAGTGAATTAAAAAAATAAATCAAATCCATCTTATCAAAATACAGTTGAATTGGATTCGAGTGACTTAGTTTACATAAATCCACCCGCTGACACTTTTATTTTATTTTATAAAATATATTTATTTTTATTTTATTTTTTGATATATTTTCCATGAAAATTGGATTTGTGAAACAAAATTATGTTATTATTTATTATATGTAATAAACTATTTCATATTTATCTTCAAAACGATTACTTCGATTAAGTGACTGCCGCAATCCCCACGAAAAACACATAAAAAGCGTTGGATTCGGTGACAACCCACTTTTTTGTCGGCACCGCATACATTCATGTTCTCATAAAATGTCATTTGATAAGTGATTTTAGGCTACAACTCACGTTTTTAATTAATATAAAAGTACTTTTATATAATTTATCCATTTATTTCAATTATTTTTTCTCCATTTTGTTGTTGTAACTGGTGGTGGATAAAATGAGGGTGTTTAAAATAACTGGTGGTGGCTCGCGACTAATGGAAGAGTTTGCGATGTTGTAAATGACATCATTGCTTGATTAGTTTGAGAAAGGTATAGTTGTTCAATGTTCACACTTGATTGACAAAAGAAACCTCTGAATTGTATATATATTTGAGTGCACGAGGGAGGTAGGAAATATCTTGGGTTAGTGTGAGAAAGGTCGTTGTTCAATTCAATGTTTCACACCTGATTGACAAAATGTATGGACTGTGGAAATGGGGTTTTGATTATTTGCGAAGAATGGTTCGTGAGGTCAGATGCAGAGAACTGAACTAGTTTTGTTAGGAGCCGACGGTGTGCGACCAGAACCTCCATCGATTAGTATTCAACTTTTGGTTTGACAATAATTGACTGCAAACTATTATTACTTTTCTTAAGTATTATTCAACCTTTTATCTATTTTATTGGAAGAATATGATTTCCATTGTTTTATTAAACATGATTTAAGTTTTTATATTTTATTTTAATTAATTTAGTTTTTATATTTTTTAGATTATATCAATGTTTTAAAATTTTGACCAATCACTTAATTGGAGACATGGATTTCAGAATTTAAAGATTATATATCATATTGATAATTTTAAAATTAATTATTTTAATATTTAAGTATATTTGTAAGTTATTAATAGTTGAAATTAAAAGTATTTTTTTACATTATTTTTTAAATTAAATATTTTAAAAAAATTCAAAGTAAATAATATATTTAAGTATGATAATTAATTATAATTAACATATTATCATAAAACATCTTTAATTGGTGTCACTAAGAGTTCTTAAAAATAAACTATATTAGTTTAATTTAAATTACACTAAGAAAAATTTAAATAATATTTTTAATATGTTTTAAATACTTTGTACTATGAAACTCATATTTAAATAATATATTTTATTTCTTAAATTTTTGGTAATTTTTATATGTAATTTCAATCGAAGATACTCTATAATGTTTTTCATTAAAAAAAATCACAATTAATCTCGTCTTTTAATTCTCAATTATTAAGATAAAAATATAATTAATCATATATTTAAATAAACAATATCCAAAATATGACTATTGAAATAAATAAAATCATTATATAAAATTTAAATATTGTAACTTTTTCTAATCACGATAATTTTTTTTATTTTTTAAAATATTTGAAATGTTTATTTGCTTGAGATACTGGTCCTCAAAATCTTTCTGATATCTTGTTATTTATGTGATTTCTGAAATTTTTGTGTGTGTTTTAAATGTGGTTACTAGAGATATATTGTAAGTATTGATTTAAATTTATCTAATGAATCTAAAGTGAAAATGGTACCCAGATACAATCTCGAAAGAGTGAAAACTGTGGTGTCAAGGTCAATTCAGAGTTGGAGATGATGGAAATTAAATCAACATATTTTTTTAATGTTTGCAGAATAAACTAAAAAAGGTGAAATAACAATAACTTAATTATGTTTAAAAATAAGGAAGATTGAACTTGATTATATTTTAAAATTAAGTAGTGAAAAAAATCAGAAAAATTATAATGACTCTGCTTTTAAACAATTTAGTGGTTATTTTTTAGATTTTGTTTTTAATTTTATTAATGTTTGTTTATAGAAAATTGGTCTGTTTTAAGATAAATAGTTTATTTTATAAGTTGTTTTAAATATTTTTTATTATAATAACTTGTTTAGTGTTTTAGATTTTATTATTTTGAAACAAATATATAACAAATGTATAAAATTAAATATAATTAACATTTATTTTCGAGGATGAGAGAAAATAAAAAAAATGTAATTGTTTATATTTATATTTTTACTATAATTCTATAACAATGATAAAAATGAACAATATTGATTTTTGTACAGAATAAAAATATTAAATAAGTGTAAAATAAAAATAACATTAATCGGAGGGGATTCCACTAACCGTATCCAAGGTAGAGTCAAAATTTTAGCTGTGATAGTTTCGGTAAAAAAATATAAATAAATCAAAATACAAGATACTTTATTCTTATATTACTAAAATACAAAATTTAGAAAAGTATACTTTTATTTTTTTCATTTGTTAAAAAAGTATCTGTCATAAATTTATGTATCCCTTGTTAACATGTATTTCATATATTAATTAATTAATTTATACATATGTTAAATAATTTCATCTATCTAATGTAATATAATTATACGGAAAGACTAGTTAAGTTTATAGTTGTAAAGTCATATCTTTTGATATTAAGGTTGTGATTCAATTCTATTAAAATGTTTTTTTTTTATCTTAATATAATATTCACGTGCAATTAAATTGGATTAATTTTCGAATAATTATGAGCTTCAATTTATGATGATTATATTTAATTAGACACTTTGTACCCCAAATAAAAAGTGATTTGATAGAAATTCCACATTAGAAGGTATATAAAATTTAACTTATTTTTGAGTTGCAAAGAGGTTGACTGTCTATAAAGAAATTCAAAATATTAATTTTTAGTTTATAAATAAACTTTTATAACTCAAACAAATAAACTTATAATATATATTCTAACTTTGAAATGTCTTACTATTCTTAATTTTTTTTAGAACAAGATTCACATAATTTTTTTATTTTAATAATGATTTTTAAAAATCATTAAAAAGGATGTGGGTTATAGTGTACAAGTTTTTTTACATTTGTTTTTCTTAATGTACTTTCAATTTGTGGTTACAATAAAGAATAAATATATATGTTTTGGCTTAACAATACTCCACCAATGAATTTTTCAAATAAAAAAATATATAGAATTTGAGTTTTGAATAGAGTTTTTTTCCCCTTAAAATATAGAATATGTTTTTTTTTAATAAAGAAAATTCATTGTCCTTTACTTGTGTTTTTTTGTTGTTGTTTTTACAAAATATTTAAGATTAATCATAAACAATGGGATTAGGTATCAAATTAATGGTTTTTTTACTTATTCTCCTATGCATTATTATGTATGTTATTTGGTGAATTTATTGTAGAATGTGAACGTTAAGCAATTTAACTTATATGATAACTTAAATAATACATTAATAGATCATATTCACTGGAACACTTTTTTCACTGTATTTATAAGCTGTATGTTAATTTTATTTTTAGTTAGTATATTTTTAACTGTTGAATCATCAACTTAAAAAAAATATATACTTTTTATTATTTTGATTAATATATATAATTGGTGAGATGACATTAATTTCTATAAATTTATATCTCTTTAATGGAAACTACAATATTTTTGTTATCATTTTAGTATAAAAAATATGATGTCATTAAAATAAAAATATTATATAATACCTTATTATACTTTATACGAAGGCTGCACTATTTTAAGATAAAATATGTAACAAATTAATTGATTTTTTTGACAAGTTTATATAAAGTAAGTTATGAAAGAAGAGAAAAAAAAGACAGTGAATTTAGGATGGAGGAGTGTAAATAGCGATAGCACTTGGATGAAAAAAAGAAATATCTCTCTCTCTCTCTCTCTCTCTCTCTCTCTCTCTCTCTCTCTCTCTCTCTCTCTCTCTCTCTCTCTCTCTCTCTCTATATTCACGTGTTTCTTTATTTGGATAATTGGGCTTTAAAGTTTTGGGTCAGGGCAAAACTTTAACTCATAACAAAATATAAACAGAGCAACTTATGCCAATTTAACTGTTTACACTTAGGAGGTGTTTGCGTGAAAAGAAAAAAAAGTATATATCACAAAAAATTATGATTTTTAAGAATGACTATATTTTGTTTAATTTATAATATATATATATATATATATATATTAAAATAATGATATTTTATTAAATTTTTTAATAGTTTATTACATTAAATATTTAACAAGGATAACGTGATATTTTTCGGTGGTATTTTGTTTATCTTTATGAAAAAGGTTTCACCTCCACATGAGGACACTTTTGTGTAATATATATATATATATAAAAATGGTTGTGACAGTTTAAAATTAAGCAGACCAAAACAATGCGGTTTTGACAGTTTAATGAAGGGATAGTTGTGGCATTTGTGAGGATGGGTGGGGTGTGATAGACAATTTCGGTGAATTTATAAATGTTGAGGAAGGTGTTGGCAGATAATTTAAAATTCTTGTTCCCCTAATTGCAATTCCATAAGTTACCCAACTACACCCGTTTTCTATTGGATACACTTTAATCATCCTCTTTATTAAAGACTACTGTTGTTATAGAATGAAATATTACTAGAACAAAATTGTTTTAATGTTTTTTTAATATATTTCTACTTACATGTCGTCATCTCTAATTCATGATTAAATTAGAATATCAAAACATTGTGATGAAAACAGTTAATTTATTAGTGCCTGGATTAAAAAACTAAAACCAACCATTTAAAAAAAAAACAAATTAGAAAAACAAGTTTGAAACTGAGGGCATTCCGATTCGAGGAACACGGAAACCAAATATAATTTGGGAAATTTGCAGTTCCATTCCATCTCTCGTATAGAGAGTTGCAATATTCTCATTGCTTTACGGTTTATACAGAGTAAAAGGTATGACGAAGCAATACAAAAAGCATGCAATGCAAGCAGATCCAACAGCGCCGCGCAACGAGTAGATGCAAAACCCTAAATCCCAACGGTTACTAAAACACGACAACATTTGACTTGCTTAGCACCACTAACAATAAATCCACAATAATAATAAATCTAGTACACTACACAGACAGCAACCTAGACGGCGTTTTTTATTTGCGATCTGAGGCGTGAGGGGCGTGTGATGAGGTCCGAACTCATCTCCGGCAGCGCGTGATGACAGAGCAGCCTCTGGAGTAGGGGTGAACCGGGCCACGCGCCTTGTAGCAGTTGTGAGTGTAGTAAGATCTCCCAGAACGAGGAGGGCAGGGGATTCGGTTAGCGGAAAGAGCACCGTAGGAGATGTAGTACTTCATTCGCCGCCAGAACAATGATCTCCGACTAAACCCGCTCTCGACATCTTCCTCGTCTTCGTCAACATCATCGTAGAGCGACATTGCGGTTGGCCAGTCGAGCGCGTCGGACATGAGGTTGAAGCTAGCGTCGTCCATCTGTGCGTGCAAGGAACCCAGGTGGGTGAAAAGAAAACATAGGAAGAGGGGGAGGGCGAGGGTGAGAAGAGAAAGAGAAGAAGAAGCCATGGGAAGAGAGAGAGAGAGAGTGGAGTGAGAAGAGTGAAGATGGAGTTATAATTTGGTGGTGTTAGGGAGGGACAGGGGACAGGGGACAGAGGACAGAGGTTCACATGGTGGGTGTAAGCGCCAAAGCTGGTACCTTACTGGTTTACAGCTGTGCCTCATCAATGCCTCAATCTACGCGTGTTCCTCCTCTATTATCGTGCGCCCCCACCTCGTTTTGCTTCGAGGGGATCCTACGGTGGGGAACGTATTCATGAGGTTTTAATTAAAAGTATCGTAGAATATGTGTCGTGTGTTGTGTTACCCTACGCAACGGTACTGAGTAAAGACCCTGCGGTGCTGTTACTTTCCTCACGTCGCATGTGGATCGTTCACTGCCTCCATTCTTTTAACTTCGACGGTGCAATACCCTACCAACTTCAAATATTTCAAAGGGAAGATAATCACGGATAACGTTGTTACAGTTTTTACTTCCTTAAATTATCGTTGTTAGTATTCAAAAATTATATTAACAAATAATAATAATAATAAATAAAAATAATTAATATAAACAAAATTTTCTCTCTTTTCATTTTTTCTTTTCATATTTCTTCCTTTCTCTCTATCAAACGGATTAAGAGAGTATAGTTTTTTTTGTAAGAATCACAAAATTAACATTTTGGCGGTTGAGACATTTTACTTTCGGTCAATAAGTGGATCATGAATTGAAAATTCAAAAGTGGCACTTCTGAATGTAAGGAAAAGAGGCCCATCAAAATACATACATTCACTTCATTCTGAAAGCCCAAATATCTAAGAAGCAGGTCCATAATACTTTTCTTTTTTCTTGAAAGCACAATTCATGGAAAATATCTGATTGCACTTACAGAAGCCCAATTTAATAAGTACTAACAAATCAAGCACGCATGTTCAAAATTAAACAAATTACACTTCAGCAACTATAATCAAAGTATACATGGTATTCATATTTTTCTGATGCCAAAAATCCGTGTTAAAATCATGATATCAATAAGTATTAGGCGATTTAAACAATGCTTGTTTTCCTTAAAAATAACACAATATTTCAAAATAATTTTTAAAATTAATATAAGTTATATATAATACAATATATATTTATAAATATATATATATATATATATATTACTTTTATATTAATAAAACATTTTTAAAAAGTTATCAAATTATAAAATATTTACTAAAAAAAATAACTCATTCTTTCATTTATTTTTTAACATTTATTTGTAAATATTATTCTATTGACATGAAATAATTTTTCGAAAAGGTCCTCATCCATTCAATAACAGAGTCTATAAACCTTCACACATAAAAACTTATTCTTATCTGATAATTCATCCATATGTAATTTTGTTTAATTTGTAATTGGAGATTAAAAATATAATCAAGTTATATTATATAGAATGGTGTAAATCTCAGTTGTGAGAGTCTGTAGTTATTTGAAATCATGAAATTGTTCTTTTTACGTGATATCATGTTACACCCTGATAAATCTCTGCGCGCTTCTCTTTTTCGAGTTTCCAAATTGCCCCTTTAACATAACATGGCAACATACATCTCCCACTATGAAATGGGTCCCTGCAACAGAGAAGCTAAGATTATGGTTTATTTAGAGAGTATTATTAGATACGCAAATCTTATAAAAGCTAGAGGACCTATTGCTTTAGTAGCTGTGGTTGGGTTTGGATCATATAGGCTACTATAGGACATATAATTATAAAAGTTAAATCAAAACCCACGTTTTGAATAGTGTGTTTAACCAAAAAGCGGATTCAGGGAGACATATCATGTATTTCATATTGCAATTTACTGACATAATCTATAAGCAGTATCAGTTTCTTTTACAGGTAATAAAAGAGTTGTAGTACTTAAAAAGCATTTTGTGCACTAGATGCAGAAAATGAATTATATAATTAGCATATTTTTCAAATAAAGTTACTTAGACACAAAACAAATGATCCACACCTGCTACGGGCCAACAACAGGTGATGAGTTGGAAAACGACAGGTGAAATGGCCATGAGAAAAGAAAAAGCAATGCAAGCTTTGAGTGACAGTGCATAGGAGAAGGAGCAAGGATAAGAAGAAACGCAGTTACTACGCCTCTGAATCCATCTCGAAAAGCGTTCTCAGATGTAAATGGAGTTGGCCAATATAGGCTCGAACACTTTGATTGTTTCACATTCACTTTCCCTTTCTTTTTGGATCCATTAATTTTTTCTTTCCACTACCAATAATAAAGCATATCTCTCTCTCTATCTATGCTTGGGACCACTATCCCCACGCTCTTATCTCCTTCATCATCCCTGCCTTCAATTCGCCACTGACGGAGGAGTAATTAACCTTGTAGTAATGAATTTTATCTCCCAAGGTTGTTCTGACCACTGTCATGTGACAGTGGGGCTACCTATCTCTGGCTTTATTATCTGACTCACTGCTCAAATAAAATAATGTTCATATTCAACCCAAAAACAAGGCAAACAACACCAAACTACCTTTCAGTAAAAAGGATCCATCCATCGCATATTACAAGCAAGAATTGAACCTGGTTCATGCACCTTGCACCACCATTCAACCATCATATCCTTCTACCCTTGCCCTACCAATGCCTGTGGTCCCTCAACTCCTCATTGTCAACCATTGATCTTAAATGCTTCCACCTTTGACAATTCACAAACATAACATCAACGGTGCAAAACAAATCAACCCTTATTCCTGAAGGCAACCCCACACATCATGGGCACTCTCCAAATAATAAAAATGTCAAGTCCAGCATAGATTTTCTTCCCCTTTCTATTTATGGACAAATTTAAAAATGCATTGTTCTCAACTTGCTATAAAAAGCCCTTCCATTACCTGCTACATTGGTCGGTTACAGAGATAATAATCCTGCACCACTTTCTGCAATCTGTGCACTCTTTTATATTATTCTCTATCTCTCTTCTGCAAAGTGCAAACCCTACTTACTTTCACACTTCCTTCCTCTCCTTTCCCATACTCTGCTCCCAACTTTTCTCCCTTCTTCCCTTTCCTCCATCCCTCCGTGTCTGTCGCGATTTGAAACCCATGGACGTGGACATACTGAAAACCTCCACGAGTGACACCAGCATGGACATGATGATGATGATGCAAATGGAAAAGTTCCCTGAATTATGTGAACCTTTTTATAACAGCACCAATCTTCTCTACCCAGAAAACGAGTTCTTAAGCTCCACCACCAATACGCCACCCGTGTTCTCCAATCTTAACCCAAACGTTATAACTCCAGCACCCACTTTGATCAATCCACCACCACCTTCCTATAATTTTGTTCTCCAACAACCCATGACTCCTCCCCTTGAACCCAACCCTTCGTTTTCGGAGAAGAAGAACTCTGTGGCGGCCATGAGGGAGATGATTTTTCGCGTGGCAGTGATGCAACCTATTCATATAGACCCTGAATCTATCAAGCCTCCTAAGAGAAGGAACGTAAAGATTTCGAAGGATCCACAGAGTGTGGCAGCGAGGCACAGAAGGGAAAGGATAAGCGAGAGAATAAGGATCCTTCAGAGATTAGTTCCTGGTGGGACCAAAATGGACACGGCTTCTATGTTGGATGAAGCCATACACTACGTGAAGTTCTTGAAGAAACAAGTGCAGACGCTGGAACAAGCAGGGGCAACTAGACCCTTGAGCGTTGTTGGCTTCCCTGGTACTGTGTCCAACACCAATAACAACATTAATTTTTCTTCTTTTGTGAAGAGTTGCCAACCGTGTCATATGCTTGGTTCTGCAGCTTCTAAACACATGCTCAGTTGAGTTGAGAAGTAGTGTTTGCTTCATACATGCATGAAAAATGAAAATCAATGAATTATGTATTTGGTGTATATTGATCTTCATCATAGTTTTGTGCATCGTGCATGGGTTATAAAGAAAATGTTCGCCAGTGTAATTGTGCGCTGTTTCGAGAATTTCTTTTTCTCTTTTCATACCTGACAACCATGGAAAGCAACCAATAAACTAATATGAATGAATATTATTTTCTTCATCCTTCTACTTTTCGCATTTTTATAATCACTCTTCACGAGTATCCTAACTCCTTAATTAATTTCGCTTCTGTCTAATCAGAATGAATGTCAGAAAAATGTTTGAATAATAACAAGCAAATCTTACCATTGATCTAGACTCTTGCAACAATCACTGTTGTATATAATATAAATATACAAAACAAAGTTTGACCGATCTTGTTTTGGTCTTCTGAATGCCCAACTCTAATGGCTATCTTTAAGAGGGATCACGTGCAATGACAAATAGCGGTTTATTTTAACCATGCTCATTCACGACACTCCGGCGCAACCAGTATGCATGCATGCATAATTATTAAAACACATTTTATAATTTTATTGTTTATATCTCTTCATTGTTATATTACATAATTCATCTTATTTCATATTTTTGTCTTGTTTTTTTTTGTTGTAAGAAAAGTTGTGCAAATTTGTTTAAATCCAATTCCTCGTCATAAATTAAAATAATCACCCTATATATTTTTTTTCTTTATTTGAATACAGGGAACGCAACGTGAAAAGCTATTGCAATGAAAGAAAAAAGACGAGGGATCAAAGAAAAGAGTTATATTATTTTACCTATTTAAGCAATACAATTTCTAATAATCTTCGCCACGTTAACTCTAATATATACTCATGACTGGCAATAAAAGATTTAGGTCTAAAATGTTTCTGTTTGGGTCACACTCATGAGTGACATGAACATTTAATGCCTCAATGTCATGGGAGACAATATTTAGTATATTACATGGAATTGAAAATAAAGTTAATTAATACATTTTTTAGTGGTAAAAGAAAAAGAATAAAAAATAAAATATAAGAACTATATTCTATAACTAATGTCCGGAATATTATTCATCAAAAAAATATAATGTTAGAAGATCAGAATCTTATACGATAATTGAAGAAACACTGTGTTAATATATTGTAAAGAAGCTAGAATAACAATAAATATATACAAAACTTTTATTAGTGCTATGCGTTTTATTTTATTTACATAATAACAACAATGTTATAATAATGGTATACGATACTCGTTTAAATATTTCATAATTTTTATTAAATTAGTTTAGTTTTAATTTTGATCTTATAACTTTTCTTTAAAAGGAATTAGTTTTATAAAAATAAAAATAATATTAAAATCTCTTATAGATTTATCTTTTAATTGTAATAATTAAATTCTTTTTAAAATTTCAAATGAAATATAAATAAAAAACTATAAAAATATTGATACTTGTAAAAATTATCTATTCAAATAAAATTTATAAAAATTTAATATGAATTACTTTTAAAATGATGTAATATAAAATGTCTCATCAAAAATAAAAATGTGTTGTTTATAAGAAACTAAACTAAAATGTTCTTAATATCTTTTTTTTCGTATAAATTCATCCAAATAAATTTGACACTATGACAAATTATGAATTTCATGAGATTTTTTTTGGGTTGATGAAAATAATACATCTAAAAAAAAAATTACATCACATTGGATAAGTAATGGAATAAGTGACAATAACTATATAATATATTCAAAGTCCACGATGTTTTCACCGAGTCAAAAATACTTTAAATTTGTATTTGAATTGTTTATATTCTATTAGTAAATTGTTGAGAGATTTAGTTTAAATTTTTGTTTTAAAGAGTGTGAGTGTATTTGGGGGTCAAAGGACACATGAGAATGTTGTAAAATTTTTTACATAGTATTATTTTTCGGTTATCATTAAATAACGGTCGTGATTTTCCTCTCGATTTTAGAGTTTCTACATTATATTATTGTATTAATTGTTTTTATCTTATTTCTTTATTAGTAAGATAGTTCCGAGGGATAAAGATGATGATATTTGTAGGTTGACTATTTTTATCTTATTTCTCTATAAGCAGAATAATTATTAGGATAAAGAAAATTATGTCTTTCATAACATTTTTTTCCATGGAACTACATATAAGAATATTAATAATATTTCATTTTATCCATTACAAAGAGATATGGAAAAAGAACGTGAGATAATTAAAATAATAAAAACATGAAATGAGAAAATATTTATGAAGTATTTTTAAAAGATAAAATATTAAGTATATTTTAAATTAAAATTTATTTCTTTGTAAAAACTCTTTAAAATATTATTATTATTCTTTTTTTTGTAATTTTCTCATAAATTAATTTTACTTTACAATAAATTCATTTATTTAATTTTAAAAAAATATTTATAAATAAATTGTCCAAACAAAATCATTTTTAACTTAACTTGCTATATATATATATATATATATATATATATATATATATATATATATATATATATATATATAATAGTATACATAGCTGAGTGTTTTTTTTTTAAATCTTGTAAATATATATTGCATTAAGGCTAACAATCAGTATATATATATATAGTTTTTTTATATCGATGTTTGTATGTTTTTATATTTTATTTTTATAAAAAAATATTTTGTTAGGTTTAGAAATAAGTGTTTTGTGATCATAATAATATCATTAACATCAATTTTTATATTTAAATAGAATCTATTTTAAAGTTTTAATTCATCCTAAATTTATTTAAAAAAAAAAACGTACTGATAAAAAGAGAAGAATGAAAAAAAACATGATTTTGTTTTTTTCCCTATACCTAATAATATTTTAATACTTAATTATATATTATATAGATATTAATAGATCTTGATAGAAATACGTAATTATTTCTGTATATGTTGTTGAGGTATTCTAGAAAATGAAAGGCCCCTGAGGCTAAACGAAGTAAGTTGCCCCCCACGGCAAGGTCGAATAATTTGGTTGTTCGTGTCTCAAGGATCATGCCTCACGTATGTTTTTTCTTTTTTTTACTCAAAATATACATTATAAGAACAAAAATGGAAAAAAGAAGAAGAGAGAAGGTGAGAACAAAATATGGAGAAGTCACTAGCATATTGAGGCCATGTGAAATATAGACTAATAGGGTCCATGCAGCATCTGAGATAGGATTTTTAATTATTATTATTTGTTTATTATTGTTATGTGTTTATAAAAATTAAAGCACCACGGGGCACCTTGCTATCAGCATATGCATTATCTCTGCACCATTCCCCACCTTCTCTATAGTGCATTGTATCCTCCTCTGACACATTCCTTATCGTATTCTCTTTCTTTTCACTTTTTTTTTTTTTTTTTTAAATACACCATTCTGCACATTTTATTTTAAATATTATTTTCAACGATTAATCAATAATTGCTTTTAAAATGATAAACAATAAGTTGTTTTGTTCTTTAAACTGTAATTAATCTGATTTCATTTTAATTTCGTCATTAGAGAATTTTGTTAAGATTCACACATGCGCTTAATCGATACGTTTTATTGTTTCAATTTTGTCACCATCATCTAGTTTCTGAATGTATTCTTAAATATTATTTAATTCCGTTGAAATTAATTTTAAGCGTGTGTGAATTTGGTGAGAAAAAGGAGATTAATTAGTGGGTCCACGTGAACATCTTCATCAGCCGCGAATGATCTAGATTTGTCATAAAAATGAACATGAAGATTATTAAAAAAATTATTGTCATTTATATTTTCATGTAATTTTAAAAACTATATAAATTATACGTGATGTAGATTATGTAGTGCCATTATCACAAACGATTGGATAAAATAAAAATTATGCAAGTGATAAAGCACGATATATTGCATGGTCTAATAATTTTTTCCCTCAATTCAATTTGCATCCCTAAGTTGAAACAGAACATAAGAGTGTGGGAGATGTAAGAGTCTCTCTACCTGTATTAATGTCCAGGATAGATGGAATGATAGCTTCATTCATCCTCCTCATATGTACACCGACATTGCACTCAACTTCAACCCTCTCTCTGTATATATAGTACTTTCGCATCATTTATTAATCAAATAAAAAAAGAGAGAAAAAAATGGCCATGACAAATATTTTATCCAATCAAAGTCAAAAATAGAAGAAAATTTTAGGGGTAACCACTGCAGCATTTATTTCCTTATCTACCTATCTATATCTATATTGTAATATTATATTCTCTATGACAACGACCCGTTACAGAACTTCATATATAGCACAAAAATATTATAAAAGAATATCAAATTTAAGAGTGATTTCTGGTCTAATTAACTTTTGAGAAATATTTAAGAATGATTGAGTTCTCTTTATGTAAATATTCAGAAATATCAATCTATATGTAAGGGAGATGGTCTGATGAAAAACTTGTTTTTTTGTGGAGATGAAATACGATCAAATTTCGTATTAATTTTTTTATTGTAATGCAATAATTAAAGATTATCAAGAGTACCTAGACGCTATCAGTCATATAAATATTTTATAATATTTATAAGAAAAGTATTAACACATCGTATTTCCATTGACTTCAACACTAGACTATCTTTGTCGGTATTCCTATTCCTCACACGTATCAAAATTGGGAGTTGATATAAAAAATTCAGATATGCACAACGAAAATTTTGAGGCAACGGTCGCAATATCAACAAATAACATGATAGAATAATCGATTTATGTTTGAAATTGTAAAACACAATTATTATAATATTATAATATATATTTGTAAAATTTTATTATATATATATATTTATTACAATATTTAAATTATATCTATTAATATTATAATTATTGAAAAATATAGTCCATGAAATGAATATAATTAATCATTACATTCATTAAATTTAATAGAATTATATAATACATTAATAAAATAAAAACATCAACTTACTTTGTCAAATTTGTAGATATAATCTTCACCACAATTTTATAAAATTGAATTAAAATCACTTAATTTTTAATAATTTATCTTAAGTGATTATAATTCTTATAGATATTTTAAAGATATTTATTAATATATTATTTTCACACCTTGTTCTTTCTTGTAAAAAAAAGTTGTAAAAAAAAGTTCTTATTGCATAATATTAAAAATAAATGCATAAATAAAATATTTTGTTACTTTAATATAGAAATCATATTTTATTACAATTTACACGTTTTTAATTAATCCATCTTAATAAATTATACTATGATAACTTTATAATTATTATTTTTTACCTTTTTAGGTAAAAATTATAAATTTGTTTTATCTCTCTTTTCCCTTCGTTATATTTCACCTTTTAAAAATTATTATTGTTTATTCTCTTTTATTTTGATCATGCTTACGTCATCACACAATAGTGATAGTATTTAAAAGTTTTTTATTTTTATTTTATTGTTATTTATGATTTGTTTCAATAAAATATTCTAATTTATGTTTGATTATATTTTTATTATGTCATTTTTTTATTTTACAAATATCGTGAAAAACTTATATGATTATTATATCAGAATTCGATATATTAAACAATATTTATTATATTGATTTATCAACAAATAAAATTAACATTTTGTTTTAGGATAAACAAGTCTGATTTATTTATTTCATTTTAAAATATGTGACGTTTTAAATTAAAAATATATTTTTAAATATATGATATTTATAAAATTTAATGTTATATTAATTATTTATTTATTAATTACATCTTTATTAATTTTAATTTTAAATATCATATATTTTAAAATGGATAAAATAAAAGTCATCCTAATCCTACCCACCTAAGAAAATTTAATAATAATAATAATAATAATAATAATAATAATAATAATAATGAATTAGTAGGTTAAATGAACCAGCCACTTAAATTATAATAAGTTTCTTTAGATCTGACAATGAAAGTGGATGAGTTTGAGTGAGGCCCTTGGTTTCTTTTGGGTTGGGTTGGGTTGGTGGAGTGCTAAACACATTTGAGAAGAAAAAGGGATCTATAATAAGATAGAAAAAAACATATTACGTTACTAGTTATATTATATCATTATTTTTTTTTCACATCTTTTACTTAATTTAAAATTTATAAATAATTATTATTATTTCTCTATATTATCTTTTTTTCTTATAAATTATAATATATTACTTATTAAACTTTTCTTATCTCCGAATACATTAAAATAATACAAAAATCATTTATATAAAAATATTGATAATAATAATTTTTAATATTATCAAATTATATTATGATTATTAACTTTTATAATTTGTTCTTATTAAATTATATCAACTAGCCACTGTCCTAAAAAATTATTTTAATTTTTATATTATTAATATTTATAAATTAAATTATAAGAGACCAATTAATCTCTGGTAGAGTATGTTATTAACATTTTTTAAAATTATTATATATGCACATACATACATTTAATCACAATTTTAATAAGTAAGCTTAGTTTTATTTTACTCTCCTAAAATAGATATGTCTGTTCTCTAATACATTGCCTTGTTCTTTTTCTTTATTTTTTTTTTCGTAAAATAATTAATTTCCCTGTTTTCTCGTGAAAAAAACAAAACAAATGCTAGTGGACTATTTAGCATTTTACAATTGTTATAGATTCGTATCTATGGTTATACAAGGAAATTTAGAACCATTTTGGTAATAAAAGATTGCTAAATTTTGAAATTTAATTTAAATTACTTTTAAAAAAATTACATTTACTTTGATTCACATCTTATATTGTAAAAAAAAAAATTGAACTATTTAAATGTAATATTATATGATGTAATTAAGTAAATAGACAATAACAGACACGTATGTATATTTTTTAATATTATTTAACTGATTAAGTACATAATATTTAAATATATTTATATTGATAAAAAATTATAATTAATTTGCATTATAATTTTTAATTATGAAATAACCTAATTTATTTATAAATTTATATAAAAGTTTAAGTTACAAATAATAATTATATACAACAAATTATAACATGTATTTTTGTTTTATAATTTTTTATTATAAATTTAAAAATAATATATTTTAAAAAAATAATAATAACAAAAAATAAGAAAAAAATATATTTGATGTGATTTATATTTAATATTGAATTTATCTTTTATTCAAGTAATTAACGAAAATTCAATCAAATGGAACGGGAAATGCACATGAACATAACGATTAAGACCGTAAATGTTAAATAAGAAAATACTAAAAAAATATTAATTTTAAAAAACATAAATAATATTATATTTATCTATAATACTAAAATTAATAGAAAAAACTATAAAACAACAAAAATGAACAAAATATATAAAAAAATAATTTTTCTAAATTTTTAAAAATATGCGAGGAACCATAACAATAAATTAAAATGATAATAATAATGAAAATATCAATATTTTTAACATAAATAAACTTATAATATGAAAAATTAAAATTAAATCCATCCATCAAACTTTACTAAACTAGCATAAAAATAGTACAAGAAAATCAAATCGAATATACATATAAATGTTTACAAATAGTCAATAAATAAAAATAATAATACTCTTAAATTTAAATAATAAAAGAAAAGAAACCTAACTTTCAATCAGACTGCAAGACTTATGTTTTCAAGTATAAATTTTCAATTAACCAATTCATGGTTAAGAGGAAGAAAAATACATTAAAATTTATTGTTAAAATTTTAATCCAATATAATTTTAAATGAAATGATAAATCTAATTTTACTTAGGAGTTCAATAAATATATAAAAAGTTTCTCTTATTTTTTCTTCTTTCAAAAATAATATAAAAAATTACCCTCTTTATTCTGATTTAGAAGATTTTTCTCTACTAAAATTAAGTAAAAAACAATTAATTAATTTAAATTTTTTAGATTAATAAACAAAAACTCAATCCAACAAACGTATACAAGTGCATTTACATACCTTAAAATATATAAATGCATACATATACACTAAAAATATGAGTATAAAATACCAATTAAATAATTAAAAGCCACAAATATTATCTAATTTGTATAATATTAACAAATATAACATCTTAATTTTTTTTTTAATATCCCGATGTAGGCAGTGTTGTAAAAGCTGACATAGACACTAACAAACTTTATTCCTGATACGTGTATAAACATTGTTCTTAAGGACTTATCCGCGGTGTATTGCGCAAGTTCCCTAGGATACAACAGGAACTCTTCGGAATATCCGAAGATCTCATAAACTAGCAAAAAATTCTCTCAGAAGATGAGAGATGTGTCTTGAAGAGTGTGAAGTGGTCTTTATTTATAGGAGAAAGTACGTAGCAGTTATGAGAAGACTTGGTAGTGAGTCTGTAACATTATCTGAAACAGTCTTCTGCAATATTCTCTGAAACAGTTTTCTGCAACGTGTGAGAATACGTTCTCTGAAACGCTCTTCTACAACGTTATCTGAAATAGTCTTTTGCAACGTGTGTGAGAACACGTTATCTGAAACAGTCTTCTGCAATGTATGTGAGAACACGTTCTCTAAAATAGTCTTCTGCAACTTGTGAGAACACGTTCTCTGTTTTACAATACCCCTTAATTTACAACAATCCCCCACATATTGCAAAACAAAAGGAGATAAAAGAATAAAAGAAGAAAATCCTGGGTCTCATATAAGATGTAATGCATCACTGGTATAATAAGCTATATGAACCAGTCTTAGACTAAAGAACTTAACACACAATGTAGTTGGTGTAACAAGCTATATGAACCAAAACACTTAATGTGTGTTAACAGTTTTAATAATCATAATATACCCTCACAATTCTTGTTGTTATAGTTGTGTTGCACTTATTAGGTCATGCGCGTGCCCGATATTCATGAGTGTTCTAAAATCTTGCAAAGATCTCATACAAGTGGCCCCACTCGACACTCATATAGGTGACTTCATTAAGTGTATGCTGCAAATCATACACCACCGTTAAGGGATATAAAATCATTAAAAACTTTTATTTAGACTAAAATTCGTACACCACATAGATTTTAATTACAAAGTTTAACCTCTCAATGATGCAGTATCTAGCACTTTCACATATACACCATAGGAATGGACATAATTGATTTTAATCAATTTTAGTGCTAACAGAACTAACAAGTAACTTGTTTTTACCCATATAAACCTTATTCATGGATCTCCAATCATAAAGGTTGGGTTACCATCACCTATTTATTTGCAAGTTGCTTAAGTCTCATTCCCCTCGATGTTTCTAAAATCATATTTCTCACTAAGGGTTTTGTCAGAGGATGTGCTAGATTCCGTTTTGACTTCACATAGTCAATGAAAATTGTTTCATTCTTTAGCAGCTGCTTCACTAAATTATGTCTCAACTGTATATGTCTGTTTTTTCCATTGTAGTTCTTATTTTTTGCTATAGCTATTGCTGATTGACAATAACAATGTATTGATACAGATGAAATCAGTTTCATTCCTAATGAAATATTTACTAAGAAGTTTTTCAACCACTCAACTTCACTACCAACCATTTCGAGAGCAACAAATTCAGATTCCATTGTTAATCTTGCAATAATGGTTTGCCTGACTGATTTCCATGTAATCGCACCATCCCCGAGTGTGAATACATAGCCACTAGTAGATTTTGTCTCATCTGAATCAGAGATCCAGTTAGCATCACTGTACCCTTCTAGTACAGAGGGAAATCCACTATATTCAATGACATAATCCATTGAACCTCTTAAGTATCTCATAAGTTTTGTAAGTGCATTCCAATATTCTTGATTAGGACATTGAGTGTACCTACTCAGTCTATCTACTACATAAGCAATGTCAGGTCTAGAAAAGCTCATTAAATGCAGTAAGCTCCCAATTACCTGGGCATACTGAGGTTGAGAGATTGAGTCTCCTCTATTTTTTTTAACTTAGAATTAACATTATAAGGGGTGTTCACTGGTTTGACGTTATAACACCTAAATTTCCTAAGAAGTTTCTCAATATATTGTTCTTGGGATAGAAAAAATACTATCGCCCTTCTTATGATTTTAACTCCCAAAATCACATAGGTCTCACCCATATCTTTCATTTCAAATTTAGATCCCAGAAACAACTTAGTTCTGGAGACAATGTCAATGCATGTACCAAATATTAGCATGTCATCTACATATAAACATATAATGACACGTTCACCAGTCTAAAATTTAGAGTACACACATTTATCAACATCATTATTTGAAAAGTCATTACAAAGTAGAACACTATCAAGTTTTTCATGCCATTGTTTTGGTGATTGTTTTAATCCATACAAGGATTTTAAAAGTTTGCACACTTTGTTCTCTTGACCTGGAACAACACACCTTTCTGGTTGAGTCATATAAATTTCCTCCTCTAATTCACCATTCAAAAGGGCTGTCTTAACATCCATTTTGTGTATAACTAGCTTATGGATAGTTGCTAGAGCTAACAAAACTCGAATAGAGGAAATCCTAGTCACAGGGGCAAAGGTGTCAAAATAATCAATGTTGGATTTTTGAGTAAAACCCTTTGCTACTAATCTTGCCTTATATTCATCTATGGATCCATCAAGATGATACTTTTTCTTAAAGATGCACTTACAAGCAATAAGTTTTGTTCCTTTAGGTAAATATACCAAAGTCCAAGTATTATTTTTCTTAATTGAATCAATTTCAGTCTTAATGGTCTTATCTCAATGTATTGCATCAGGAGCCCTAGTAGCCTCTAAAAAACTCATTGGATCATTTTCAACTAGATAAGTGTAGAAATCATCTCCAAAGGAGGTTTCCTTCCTCTGTCTTTTACTTCTCCTCAAATCCTCATATATTTTATCACTATTAATATCTATAGATTGTTTAGGTGTCTCACTAACCTTTAGAGAAAAAATATGTTTAAAGAAGTCAACATTTTTTGTCTCCACTATAGTATTATGCTCAATTATGTGAGGACAAAAAAAACTTATAGGCAACAC